AGTGAAAAATTATGAGGTGATTAGAAAAAACAATAATATTAAATATTAAGATCATAATTGAAAAAAAGTTAATGTTTAAGAAATTGAATATTTTTTTTCATGCAATAAATAGTTTTCTTTAGAAGTAACAAATTGGCTTGTATCATACTATCTAGTAAAAAATGGTATAGTTTATATTAAATTCTATTTTTTTAATAAAAAAATGAAAAAAGATTTAAGAGATAAATTTACTTTAATTTTTAAAATAAAAATATTTTGTGATTTATTTAATTATTTACTAAGTTCTTAAGTTGAATAAAATAAAATAAAACTTTATATAATTTTTACACACACACACACACACACACACATATATATATATCTATATATATATATATATATATATATATATATATATATTTCTTTAAAAAAGAAAATAGAAATGACTATTATATGAGAGAGTCTTCATTTGACCATATGAGTTTGTATAAACAAGAATAAGAAGTACCAAGACTTTACTTGCATGATCATGTAAATAAATTGTCTACTAATATTTATTAAAGGTGCAATTAGTAAGCTAGTGATCAAGTTATAAGTTTATATTCTGCATAATAATTGTAATTTAAGATGAGACAAGTATTCTTGCCCCTTTAAAGTATCAACCTTTGATTTTGTAGTGGCTACACAATTTAAAATAAAAGAATCAATTTTAAGATCTAAAAAAAAATATATCATTTTGAATTCAAAAATTTATGTTTTAATGATTTTTTGGTGAATTGGTGTTGATTACTTATTGATTATAAGCAAAGGTAATCATAAGTTTCTAATACTTGTGGTTTAAGCTACAAAAAGAAATATTTTAATAAAACCAAGTATATGAAGGACATCTTGAGCTAGTAAAGATTCACTAGTAGAAGTTTTAGAATCACAAAACTGAAGTTGAATGTAGCATAAGAGCTATTACTATCCAAAAGAATAGTCTTGGATATATTTAATTTTTTATAGTTATAAAAGAAAGCATAAAGAGGTGACATATGTTGACTTGCATCAAAGTCTAAACATTATGATAATGATATTACAGGAGTTTTTACAAAGGTTAAAAATAAATGTAGAATTTTATTTGAAATAGTAGTATTGCTGTGTATCTTTGAAATTTTCAAGTTAAGTTCTCTTTCTTACGTTCAAGCCTTGTGATCTAACTTACCACAAAAATAATATAAAATAGAAGATAGGAGTGTATAGTTTTTTAAGGTTGAGCAAATGATTTGGATTTTAGAAGATTTTTATCTTATTGTTAATTAGATTTTAAAACTTTTTAAATTTTAATAATGGTGGTTTAATAAATTTCCTTTTAACATATAAAGCAATTATTTTTAAGGATTTAACCTTAAAATTTATTATGATATTTTTTTAAAAAGAATTTGAGAGGAGCTCAGAGAAAGTTAGATTAAAAATACTTCTATGTATTATAACAAACACACTTAATAAATTTATAAGTGCAAAAAATAATAACATAACTTATTTAGTATTATTAAATGTGCAATCAATAATAGCTTCTTATAGTAGAATAAATTAGCATGACTTAAAAAAACTCAAAATATTATTAATATTAGATATTGTGAGATAGCATAATGTTTTATGAAAAATTATTTAAGAGACTTTATTTGATTGTTGGTAAATATTTTTGATCTTGTTCCACACTTATTTAAAAGAAGTCATATATTTAAGTGCACTTAGTTGTTTTTTGCAATAATACAACAATATATCTAACAAGCTTTTGCATATTTTAATTTTCATATTAATAGGCCAACTTAATTGCTTATATTAAGAACTTTTGATCCATTTATTATATTCATAATTTGAAGCAAATGAATAACATCTTAATCTCAATGTCCTTTAAAATATAGTTCGTTGTAGTCAAAGGTAGAATTATATATGTTTTAGATGCTAGACTTTAGATTGTCATATTTATTTATCTCAACATACTCAATCTATTTAATATCTATTTCAAAATTTTGAGATGAAAAGTTTATATAGAGAAGCTTGAATCTATCTTACATCATGCTCTGATATCATTTTTTAAAAATACAAATAAAAATAAATCTTAAAGATAAAATCATATTTTATATTCAAAAAATTACAAAATATATATTTATTACTAAATTTAATACCACTAATAAGTGTAACATATAATACTTGACATTTTGCTATTATAGCACTCTAGTTTATGATTAGATATTTAGTTGATTAAATTAACTTAAACTTATATTAATGTTATTAAGACCATTTTTTTTGTTTAATTTTTTTACTATAAAATATATTAGCTTATGTAAATTAATTTTATACATAATAACCAAACAAAAATAATCTAGTATAAAATGAAATTCTATAAATGATTTTATAATTATAATAGTTATTTTTATCATATGATTATATTGTGAATTCTTTTGGCAGACTTTGCTTGCCAAATTTTAAGTAGCTCCTATGGGTTGGTCTAGGTCCAATTTAATGTAAGTTTAGTGAAGGCATTAAAGTTAGAAATGGAGTTTCTTAAAGTTTTTGTTACAAAATCCTATGTACAACACTATGCTGCATAGTATGTGTACTTTCTAGTACAATCAAATTCTTATGTATATGCTCTAGTGGACATAGTTTCAACTTTGAAGAGAACCACTTACATTACATGTTTCTACTGGATTGTATATATTTTGTGTGTACAAATTTGTAATCAATTCTGATATATTTTATTTCTATTTAATTAAAATTTAAAGTAAAATAATTTATGATGATTTCAAAAAAATATGAAATAAAATAAATTCAACGTTTTAAAATTTATTTTTAAAAAATAATTCTACTTGAATTAATTTTATTTTAAAATATTTGTAACTATTATGTAATTGAAAAAAAAATTCTTACAAAGGATTGATATTTAAGTTTGTACTTTTATATATGTAGATTTAAATATTTTTATATTTAAAAAATATTTAATTAATATATACAATAACTCAACAAATTTATTGAAGTATTTTATCTATTTTATTTTTTAAAATTTAAGTATTTTCAATTGATCAATATATATATATATATATATATATGTGTGTGTGTGTGTGTGTGTGTGTGTATATATATATATATATATATATATATATATGTAAGTATAATAATATATAATTATATATATAATTAAGTTTTAAACTTCTTAAAAATAATTTAAAAGATATTAAAAGAATGTAAATTAATTCTTAAATATTATTTATACAATTAGAAATTTGGTTTTTTTGCTTCATATTTTTAATTTATTTTAAAATAAAATAAACTAAACTAATATAATATCTTTTAAGTATTTTTATTTAAATATTAATATTCTATGTATTCCAAAGATTTTTTTAAAAATTTTAAAAATAATTTTATTTTATGATGTATTAATTCTAAATATAATATTATTTTCATAAAATAATATTATTACTTTTAATTTCATAAGAAATGATATTAAAAATTAATATCTTGTAATATTTGATACTAGAACTTTCAAACTATAATTTTTTTTTTTTAATTATTTTATACTCTGATTGAATTAATACGTTAGGTTAGATGTTCTATATTGTAATTATAAATTTAAATTTTTATATTAGTATAAAAAAATTTAATTATAAAATAAATTATTTAAATAATTAAAATTTAAAAATTATAACATATTTTTATATCTTTTAGTATATTAAATGGTATTTATATAGTTTTATAGGACTAATATTTTTTAATATTTTAAGTATAAAAAAATACTTTGGTAGGCAATACTTTGTGTTAAATAGAATAATAATAAAACAATTACTTTTAATAAGTTCTATTCATGTCAAATATTTTTAAATTAAAAATAATTTATATGACTGTAACAAATGCGTCACTTCAATCTTTTCTGCTTTTAAAATATATCGTGGCTGCATGTAAAAATACTCAAATTTTTACTATACATAATTTTATAATTTTAAATTTTTTATATGTAAAGTTCTATAAATTAGCAATTAAAATTTAAATATTTTTCTATATTTCATATAAAGATTAGAATTCATCTTTAAATGCTTTAAAGAAAAAAATGTGATAAAAGATTTTTTTTAAAATTTATATATTCTTGAACTCTAGTAAAAAATAAAACTAATAAAAAACAAACAAACAAACAAAACTCATTTCTAACCACATAAACTACCAATCAATTCTATTATGAAACAAATTAACTAGTTTTTTTTTTTTTTGTTTGAACTAACTTAAATATAATCAATACTTTTGCTACCATTAGAGAATGTTAATTTATTTTAAAAATTTATAATTTTTATAAAATTTTAATCTATAAAATATTATACTGAGAAAAAGTCAACTTCTTATATGTATAATTTTTAGTTAATTTTTGAATTCAAAAATAGTTTATGTATATATATATATATATATATATATATATATTCAAGAAGAAACAAGAAAACCCAGAATTAGTAAAATATTGGTGTAATTATTATAGTGATAAATTTATATGTATATTTCTAAAAATCTAAGCTAGATATATTTCGACAAAAAAAAAATCTACAAAAAAAAATCCAAAGGTGTCTATTTAATTCAAATAAAATATCAAAATGTCCATGTTGCATAATTCAATATATTTAATAGTTTATCACTCTCTCTCTCTCTATATATATATATATGTACATTTTAAATTGTTTTTAGAATTCAAATGAAATATTATAAATAGGAAAAAAATTAAACTTTGTTTCAAAATCTATATTTCGAAATAAATGCATCCAATTTAATAGTTGAAAAATAACATACTTGAAATGAAAGAGTTTTAAAATGATTAATGTAATTGCCTTTAAATCCAAAATTATAGTATGTTTAAGATTGTAATTTTTTTAATAAATTCAATTTTGTAAGTTTAATTCTTTGAAAAACTATTGTTTTGAAATAGAAACAAGTTATTTCTGAATTTTTATTTATTTTTTTATTTCATGGTATTTTCAAATAATTAAGTAACAAAGATCTAAAATTGATTAAACTATTACAATGCAGAATTCTATTAATAAAAAAATAAAAATAAAAATATACTATTCAATATCTCTCCCAATGCTCTATTGTTCATCCTACTAAATAGACTTTTACAAAATGGGCTTATTTTACACAAAGATGTCATGACGTAAACTTTTCTACGACTTCACTGAATTGTTCGAAATGCCATTATACCGACACAACTGTTTTGTCTTCTCCTTCTGGATTCTTACATGAAATCGTGAACCTTGTCGACCTGGGATTGATTCACTATCTCTTACCGTTAAACTGATGCAAAAAAGTTCATCGAACATGGCTCCGTTACAACAAAAATGCAAAACTAATAAACAAAACATATCGTTGCTCGCGGTGTCGGTGATGATGTCTCAACTGATCACGATCCGGCGAGGCTTCGCATGAACTTGTTATCGGCAGTGCTTTCGAACTTGAATTTGTTTGAAGGTCATCAGTCCGTGGTTATCTTCGTAATCTGGGAGCACTAAGACGATGTTTTGATTGTACCCACTTGGTCAATGATGTTGTTGACGAGCACCATAAACAGACGCCACAATTTGGATTGCAGTCAAAGGACGATGAGATCCGGTGTTGTATCGCGCTTCAATTCTGCTCTCTTGGATTGTGGGGATGTAGTCATTGGACTAGTTTGAAGCGGCCGAGACATGACGTATCTATACTCTGCCGTGGGTGGAGGAGGTGGCAATTTCTGCACTACTGGACTGGTACTATCCGAATGACGATCCTCGAATTTTGGTGCCAGTGGACGTTGGTCCTGCGGCACGGGGACAATTATTGTTAATCCAATTCCAGACGCATAACTACCCTTGACCGAAGTTTGCGCGGTCTTGCAGAATGACGCGGCGAAAGATGGTGATTCTTCGTTGGGATTTCCATCACTGCCGAAAGAATTAGTGCAACGACCATTTGCACTAGGGCTCTCACCGCCTGGCGATCTCTGCATCATCGAAGATCCACAGCATTCATGAGATGAGGGAACTTGAAATCCTGGAAACAATAATGGACCAGATGCTTGATTTGGAAGTCCTAACTTACCGACGGTGTACCCCAGCTTTTTTCGCTCGTGTTCGGCGAAAAGTTGTCAGCCTCCCATTCCCTGACAGAATCTGAGTATGTGGGGGTCTGTTGGACACCAAGTGGGATTGTAGAATGTCGATACTCTTCGTTGACCAATAGTATTGTCGATTCTTCTGTTGAATTGCTATGTAATACGTCGGAAACTAATTTGCTCCGGGGATTAAAAATGTGAGGATCATACTCTGGGCTATCACAATTGATCCATAGAGATTCACTACCGAAACCAGAAATGCCTCGCGAGGTTTTCTGAGATTGTGTGCGGTGCCCCATGTAAGCTGCCTCATTCATCAGCAAATGAAGCACACGCGTGGCTCTTCTTTGAAGAGCTGAGCCTCTGTCAATACTGCAGCACAGAAGTTGAAGACCAACCAGTTAACACTACTTTCCTTGTTGTTGTTTTTATGTGTGTGGGTGTGCGCGCTGTCAATTTAGGAAAGCGCAGAGATTCTTTCTAATTTCATATCGATATGCAAAATGAAACTTGAAGGCGTGAGCACTGCAGCTTACCCCTTCCAATCTACGTAAACGAAGCGAGTGAGTTCCTCGAGTCTGTCTTTGTCTTCACGAAACTCCATCACTAAATGATCTGGACCGTGGCCCAGCAGATACTCCAGAAGAATGAGCGACTTGTGAATTTGTCTCCAGTATTTTTGGGTCCTAAGAGCGAACCTCTTGTGGAGGACTTGCACGACACGCAGATAATCTTCAGAGTTGACTAGAAGTTTCGAAATTTCAGCCATTTGCTTCGTGGTCGGCCCCCACTCATCAGCGTTAGTAGCATCCTCCGTCAGGCTGCAACGATCAGTGTTTACACAAAATAAATCAATGTAGAAGGCTACAAATCTCGGCTGCAACATTAACCGCAAGATACAGAGAATAATCAGAGACGAATATTGGGAGCGAAGTGAAACCGGCGTACAGTTCTGTGGTAGTGACATCCACCAAAGCAAGACGCGCAATTTTGAGGCTGTCTTTCAGCAAGTAGGAAGCTCGATTCTTTAAGCTCCCTAGATCTGCTATTCCAAGAATTTTCCGATTGTCCATCCTCTGTGGCTCCATGCATCAAATTACAAGTTTCAATCTCTAATTCCTGTGACCAAAACTGCCCTCAGCGTCGAAAAAAGTCCATCACTGCCAGCACACGGCTCACAATGTTGTGCTGCTTCAGCGTCGCATCGGCCAACTTCCACCCAGAGCTTGGCGTCAAGTTACTCAACACTGCATCATAGCGTCGTCTGCGTGCTTAGAGACGCAAACAGGCCCTCTACATACGCTACCAATTGAGCATGAACCCTCCAGATCAGAACTGATGAAATCAGCTCTCCTACCGTACACTGTCGCTGCGCGAAGTTCGGCAGGCTCTAGCTTCCCAAGTACAACTTAACGACTATCTGGACGCATGGAGCACATCAGTTGGTGGACAGTGCCCGCTTCCCCCCACAACCCTCTCCCTCTCAAACCTGGATTCTATCAATCTGCATGGGTCTCGGATGGCGCTAACTTAGGTGGCACCAGTCCAGAGGCTGCGACGGTGCGATCTGATGCGCACATAATATATATATATATATATATGTATTTTGTTAGGGTGCCAGACTTGACGTGAAAGCTTTCCGCAAGGCGCTCCGCTCGATGGCGGGACTGGGTCTTCCCAGCACCAGACTTGTTCTGCAGCTCTTGTTTTTTCTGCTTTTTCATCAGTCTAGCGCAATCCAGGTGGGGCGGGGGGGGGACTGATTAGATTAGATCTTTTCTTCGATGGCCGAGAATGTGATGTTTCGATGGCTTCGAGCGTGATCCTCTTGAGCGCAGCTCGAACTGCTGAAACTGTTATTTATTTTAGCCATTATGTTTTTCAAAAATCATTTGTGTTGATTAGAAGAAAAAAAAAAAAAAATCTATTATTGTAGTAGTAAAATTACTTGTTAGAAAAAGAATAATTCATCAAAATTTATTTTAGATAATAATCTTTTCAAAATTAAAGATTGTAAAGTTATCAAAGGAAAAAAACTATATGCAATTACTATATGTCATAAGATAGATTAGAAGAAATTTTGAAAAAAAATCTTAAAAAAAAAAAAAAAAAAAAAAAAAAAAAAACGAGATTATAAGGTTATAAGAAAAAATAAAAGATAGAATTTTGTTAGAAATATATATTAAAAATTGACTTTTAAGAAGTTCCAGTAAAAAAAAAGAAGGTCAAGATAATACAATACAACATAATTTAACATTAAAAATATATTATGAATCATGCCAATTTAAGTCAATACTTTCGAATAAATAAGAAAATACGAAAATAAAAAATAAAAAATAAAACAACATTAAAATAGATTAAAAGTAACTTTGGAACAAGCAGTTTCTAACCATTTAAATACTATTACAACCTTTCAACAAAAAAACATGTTCTATTAACAAATACAACAATTTAATTATATGAATATTTAATTAAAAAAAAAAACTCAACACTCTTCCATACTATAAATTGAAGGAAAAAGAAGAAATGAAAAAAGACAACAACAAACAAATAAACCAAAATAAAATGTGATTTAAAAAATAAATAAAAATAAAAATAAAATTCTATCTCAACTACAATAATAGAGATAATTAGATATGTATAATGTAATGACCTCTTCACACTTTATACTATCTCCTTGACTTCCAAAAATTTGACTTTTCAATTAAAAAAAGAAGTAACCTTTACACACAGCTTTTAGCCACAAGCTCGTAGACTTTTCAGTTTAAAGGCCACTTTAGATGAAGGGTTTAATACATATGACAGATGTGATGAGTATAGGTAAAAGTAAGATTTTATTTTTTTATGCGGGGCGAAAGTGTGCATGAATGAGAGGGATGCAGAGAAGGAAGCGTGGGGGGTGAGTTGGTGCATCGCCGGGATGTCGGTGGTGGCTCGCATCCACCGGAATCAACTGGAATCAGCCTTATATATATATAATCTTTTAACAATTAACATGTAGTATATTAATTTATAGATAAAAAAATAATAATTACTTAAAAAGATCAATGATAATTAAATAAGAATAAAATAAGAATCAAATTTTTTTAACTATTAATAAGATTTTTCTAGACTTTAATTAAAAAAATTGAGCTATTTTTGAAGTATTAAAAAAAATATTAAAATTTAATTTTAAAAATATTTGATTTTAGTTGCCTTCATATTCATAGCTCAATTCTTCAAGTTCCTAAAGTTATTAGATTTAGATTACAATGTTATCAAATTTAATTATAATAAATACAATTCAACCAAAAATCTTCTTTCAATAGTAATGTGGTTTGATATAATTATATTTGCAAAATCAAACTCTCTTAGTGACTAATTTTACTGTAATGGTATTTTATTATATTTTCTTTAGCAAATTAATAGAAGCTAAAACAAATGAAGTGATTCTTTTTGCAACTTGTATATATAAATGCAATACTAAGATCATTCTTAGTTTTATTACCAAATTTTCACTCTCAAATGACTTATGAAATCTTTTATATAACAAAATTATGAATTACTTTGAAAATATTTTTAACAAAAGTTTACTAAAAACATATAAATAATAATATAGATATATAAAAAGGAGAATGATAAAGCAACCCAAATTTTTACTAAAGCGATCTATTCTACTTTAACCATCATTGCATCCTTGCAGCCTCCACCCCTATTCTTAGCCATTCTTTATTCTCAAATATTGCTAAGAACAAGAGCAGGGAGCTAGGAACATTGAGAACAAGGGTGATGGTTTAGAAAAAAGAAATGGCTAGAAATAAGGATGAGGTTGAAAGAGTACAATTATGGTTTAAACATATAGATTGACTTAGTAAAAATTTGGATCACTTTATCATTTTTCTATAGAAATATTTATTTAATTTATTTACTTATAAAAAAATGGAATTTATTTGTAATTTTAAAAATAGGTATAATTATTATTTTCTAAATAAATTTTAAAAAAATTTAAAACTTGAATGTAAAGATAAAATAAAAACTATGCATGTCTTATGGAACTTAAAATTTAATATAATATTATAAAAAAAAGGCTCACTTGAATTATTATAATTAAAATTGAGTTATATATATATATATATATATATATATATATATATATATATATATATGAATAAAATTTAAGAAATTACATATTTATTGAATATTTATATATAATATTTAAATTTTTGAGAAGTTTTTTTAAAAATCAATTTTTTTGCATAATGTTAATTTTATGATTAAATCATATTGATGTATCAATAAATAAATAAAAAATTAAACTTACTTGAAATAATCTCTAATTTACTATATATAATATGATTAAATCAATAAAATATTAATTAGTAAAATAAATTTTAAAATAATTATATTAAATAATTAATATTTTAAATTTTGAATTAGAATATCTAAACTTTTTATTTATAATATTATAGTTAAAATTAAGAAATTTATAAATTGACCCAACTCCCATGCTCTTTTTAATCCTATAATTGATTACAGCCAAGTGTTGCATAAGTAGAGACATCTACACAGTGTAACTTCCCACAATTTGAAATTGTGAAAGGTACACTACAAGGATCTTTGCAAAGATGTAGAATATGTAAATATAATGGATATAATTCAAATTCTAGTACTTGTCTTAAATATCCAATTTTTCAAGCCTTAACACCTCAATAAGTATTTCTATGATTCTTAATTGATTTAAAAAATTTATTTATAAAATCAAAAATTATCTAAATTTAATAAATTATGTTGCATCAACAAACTGTAACATATTTATCACAAGATATAGAATGAGACAAAATGCTTGCATTAATTAATGAACATAAATATATTCATATACATACTATATTGTTACTCAAAGTTGCCACCATGTTATTCTATATTTATTTGGTATTTTTTGATTAAAAAGACATACTATAAGTTTATCTTATTTTTAAGAAATATTCCTAAATTACTAATATTGGCTCTTTTTTGGATGACCTTATTACTTGCTTTGTAATGATATGCTCCAACCCTCTCTCTCTGATATCATCACAATTGGTATAATGAGTATTCTCTCCTTAAAGTTGTTATGTCATTATTCTTGGATATTAAAAGGTTTTCATGTATTGGAATTGCTTTCTTTTGATGCAGCCTTTTTTTTTTGATGAAATGATATTGGATTTTGTTATGTTTGATTCTAACATATGCAATATAGATTTTTAATGAGTTTGGTGGCACTGAGATTATTACAATGCAAAGGAGAAGATTCCATCATATTTACTTTGAAGTTGTATAGTAATGACTGAGTCCATGCAATTTTCTTTGCTGCTTTGCTCATGAATTTATACTCTGCTTTTACAATCGATGTTGCCATTGTAGGCTATAACCTACTTTTTCACAAGATTGATACTTCCTAAGTTTAATAAATATGCTGCTTGTTGACTTCTTGCCATCTAGATCATGTACCTAATTAGAGCTAGAGAATGCACCAAGTTGCATTTTATTTTGCTCTAATATGTCCTCATTGCTTATGCCTTAGAAATGTTGTAAGACCTTTTTTTCCATATTTATATAAGTTTAGAGTGGCCTTGTCATAAAACGACTAAAAACACTTACTATGTACAATAAATCTAATCTAATGTGTGTGACAAATATCAAATTCTCAATAAGACTTTGATATTTAATTGTATTTGTTGATTTTAAATATATTACTAAATTTAGATGGACTAATTCTTCTATAGATGTAAAATAAGGATTGGATTCTTCTATGTCATATTTCTTGAAGAATCTAATGGTGTAACTATGTTGCACAATCTGCAACTTGTTGTGTAAGCAAATCAATTGTAACACTAAGTATAATTTCATACATCTTAAATTTGACATATTTTACTTATTTTCTAATAATGTTTTTACTAACTACATTCTTGTGGTGTCCTTTTCTATTAGCATTATATTGTCAATATAAAAGACTAAAATAATATAGATTCCATATTTGATAATTTTGGTGTAAAAATTATAATCTGTATTTCTGCGATGAAGTCTAAGGGTAGTGATATACAAATCTATATCCCTATACCATACTTGTTCAAATTGTCAAAGTCCATATATTTCTTGCTTTAACTTGCATATGAGGTTTTTGTATTGATTTTGCTTAAAGCCTTTTGATTATGTCTTATAAACTTCTTCTATAAGTATTCCATTTAAGTATGTGGCTTTGACGTCCAAGTGGAGCATGTTCCAACAATTCATAGCTACTAAAGTAATAATTACTCTTATTGTAGTCCATTTTAATGTGGATGAGGAGATTTCTTAGAAATAATACTCTTATTATTATTGAAACCCTCTTACTATGAACCTTGCTTTCAATTGTAGTTTCTTCTCATATGCCAAAATTTTTGTACAAAAGATCTACTTGGTTGTAATTGCTTTCTTATCCATAGGTATAGAAAGTAGATTCTAGGTTCCATTGTCAATAAGTGAATTATATTTGCTTTTCATTGCATTGTACTAGATGAGGTCTTTGTAGGCCTTATTAA